CCTGAAGCCCCTACATCAGCCCATGTGTCTCTGTGCCCCCAGCACTGTGTCTCATCCCCCCAGCACCTTTCATGTGTCTCATCCCCAGCACTTCATGTGTCTCATCCCCCCAAGCACTTCCATGAATCTCATCCCCACTCCATGTGGCTCATCCCCAGCACTTCCATGTATCTCATCCCCAGCATTTCCATGTGTCTCATCCCAGCACTTCCATGTGTCTGCCCCCAGCACTTCCATGTGTCTCACCCCCCAGCACTTCCATTTGTCTCATCCCCAGCACTTCCATGTGTCTCATCCCCCACTTCCATGTGTCTCACCCCTCTAGCACTTCCCAGTCCCCACTTCAGCACTTCCATGTCCCACCCCCAGCACTTCCATTTGTCTCTCATCCTCCCCACCACTTCCATGTGTCCATCCCAGCACTTCCATGTCCCATCCCCCCAGCACGCCATGTAACATCCCCAGCACTCCCATGTGTCTCATCCCCCAGCACTCTGTCTCATCCCCCAGCACTTCCATGTGTCTCATCCCCCCTGACCCTCCATGTGTCTCTCATCCCCCAGACCCCATGTGTCTCATCCTCCAGACCCCTCCAGCATGTGTCTCACTTCACCATCCCTTCCATGTGTCTCACTTCACCATCCCTTCCATGTGTCTCACCCCCACCCCAACATTTCCATGTGTCTCATCCCCCACAGACCTTCCATGTGTCTCACTTCACCATCCCCTCCATGTGCCTCACCCCACCATCCCCTCCATGTGCCTCACCCCACCATCCCCTCCATGTGTCTCACCCCACCATCCCCTCCATGTGTCTCACCCCACCATCCCCTCCATGTGCCTCACCCCACCATCCCCTCCATGTGCTTCACCCCACCATCCCCTCCATGTGCCTCATCCCACCATCTCCCCCAAATCTTCTTCACCCCACCATCCCCTCCATGTGCTTCATCCCACCATCCCCTCTATGTGTCTAGTTGCTGCTTCCTTATTTATAATTTCCAACCCCCTTTTAAAATGAGTATTTCTTGAACTGTTTGTATATACGGACTGTTGGAATTTCCACCCAGTCAGTAGATATTGGGACTACTTGGTCTCAGTATTTTTACTATGTCTGACCCTTCTAGACACTTGGCGGAGATCCTCCATAGACCTCAATGCTGTACTCAAATTATGCGAAGTCTCCAGACCGTGACAATGTTGCTTTAAATATGGCCTGCCCAAGTCAGTTTAAATCTGTTTTTATTTTCTATTTTTTTTGTGTGTATGTATTTTATGGGGAGAAAAATGAAATGCTGTGTTACTTTTGATGATATTTAATATTTCACAGTGGTGACATAGAACATGAAAATCCCGATATTGTTCAGAGGATGCCTGGGGACGTACAATTCACCCAGCATGATGTACAGTGTCACAGCAGATCCAGCCAAGTCCCAGCATTTTGGATGTGTTTCTCTGATAAGCTGCAGACACGTCAGCTTTGTGCTGTATTTTTAAGGCGAGAAGCAGCGTTTAATTGCTTCATCATTACAAGGTTTATTGCGGGAAAGGAAAGACTGAATTGATTTATTATTTAACTGGAACGGAATGGCCTTGTCTGCTTTTGCTTTTCTGATTCCAATTACATGGCCAGTTGTGAAGCCTCTCCACACTGTGCTTTGCAGCTCCCGAGGTTCTGCTAAATTACCAGATCAGCATTAGGTCAATTTAATGATTCACTGCCCTCAGTAGAATTTCATTGTGCAATGTCCCTCTATTTTCCTGGTCTTACAGCTGCATGGTAGGGTAGAGAAATTATACTGTCATGTTCTTTCTTCAGCCCACAGTGCCGGACAATGTGATCATTAAATAAGTAAATAAACCTAAACAAAATTATAATTCTCATTGTACGCATGCATGTGGCTAGGCAAGCTGACAGGACCTCTGTAATTTTGTTCATGGTTGAGGCATATCTAGACCCCCAGAAAAATAAACAAATAAATGATTTACTTTTTCTCTAGTACCGATTCTCCTTCGGTGCTTCCGTGACCTACTCCGGGTTGCATCATCCTGGATAACAGAACAATCCAATGCTTCGATGATTCTCTATGACTTACTGTGACAACACTGCGCATGTGCATGTGACTGCATGGTATGTTACTGTATGAGAGGCTGGAAGTAAGATTCTCATATTCAGAGGGCTTGGATGTGTGGCGTGAAGCCTCGCTTCCTAGCCTTCACATTAGTTTAACATTGGGTTTTGGGTGGTAGGACCAGCAAGCACTATAACAACTTGAATAAGATGAAGTTGTTAAAGTGCTCATACTGTCACTTTAAGCAAGGTTCCTTTTCAGTTGCAAAGCTGGTTTACCCACAATCCATTAGTCAAAACAATTTAGACAGCATGTCAAACTTCAGACAGCATGGACAGAGGAGAACAAAATCCAGGCGCTAACATTCAATGCAAGGGAGAAATTGTAATATAAAAAAGGGAGGGTCAATTCAAAATACTAACCCTTACCTATAAAACTCTAAACAACTCTTGCCCCTGTTATGTCTCTTCACTGATTCCTCGGTATGCCCCTTCTCTGTCTCTTTGCTCTGACCTTCTCCTGTCCGCCTCTCGCACCCTTACTGCTAAATCGCTCTTGCAGGACTTGCTGGTGGCTACTTTCCTTTGGAACAGCCTGCCTACCATCAGACTCTCCCGTAGTTTTCAATTGTTTAAAAAGTTCCTCAAAACCCATCTTTTCAGAAAAGCTTATGGAGTAACTTCAATTTTTGAAACCTGTTTCCTGTTTTCTCTTAAAGGGCTACACTCCACTCTCACCTCCAGTTTTGCTATTTTTCCACCTTGCTTGGTAGCTATCCCCCTCCTATTGTGGTTTTATACCCCACCTCCTCTAGACTGTAAGCTTGTTTGAGCAGGGTCCTCATCTATCTTGTGTTACTGTAACAGTTTGTTTCATATATTGTCAAATTTCTCCTTTTTTATAATATTGTACAGGCTGCGGAATAGGTTGGCGCTATATAAATACCAATAATAATAATTAATTTACCAAAGGCATAAGGAAAGAAAAAACAAAAACATGACTGTTACGTAATGGCTGGGTTGATTGTGGTCTCAAGTGTTGTCCATATTCTGCTTAATGCAAAAAGATGTCCTGCGCTCACTCCCATCACTACTGGGCGGCAGCAATGAATACAGTACACACCAGCCCCAATATATAGTAAAAACCAAAGAAAAACAAGTTGTCTGCGCTCTCTCCTTAATCCCTATGTATTTTTTAAACAAATTGAGGTTTTTAGTTACCTCCAATGGCCATGAGAGGGTAAGTCCACCCGCCAACGTCAAGGCAGACCCCCCTACGTGGGTCCTAACTCTAACCATTCACCTTACTTCCTTGAGCCTATGGCAAAGACATCTCTAATGAGACAGAAGGGGGTATTTTTTTTTTATATACGCCCCTATACATTTATTAACCCTTAATAGGGAACACATGGGATGGGCGGCAGCATTGTAACAAGACTGAGTGATACAAAAAGTGGATACAAATGCAAAAAGATAAGTCCTGCGCTCACTCCCATCATATTCAGCTTAAAACTAAATATATGTAAAGTGAACCTCCCATGTCGGAAAGCTTGCTGTCCTCCGTGCTTTGCCCTGCATGGAGACGCTTCCCCAAGCAGAAAAAGCCTCCTCTATAACGTCATATCAGTTGCATATTTCAACATTAAATTGCATAAAATAATAATAAAATAAAATGATGGCTTAATAACTGTGTACTATTAGAGAACCAATTATTCATTCTTGACAACAGTGTCCCTTTTACAGTTTTAGGACCAATGGTCATCTACACCATCATAACAATCTAGTCTTTTTAAAGTTAATCTTCTAAAATAAAACATGCTGCTAATTTAACGACAGCAGTGCTGTATGAAGCCGATCATGCTAAATAAACTGGGCAATCCGTGCAGATGCCGTGTCTTCAAGGAACAGATTGTGATGGTGATAAGTCATATTGTTACTTCTAGTTAACATGCTATGCCTATTCAGGTTGGTATTGATTCAGTTGATTTATTGTGATGCCGAAATCATCATCAAATGTATAGACTGGAAGATGTTCTTACCTGTATGTCACTTTCTTCAAGCTATACGTCATTTAAAGAGACAAAGCAGAGGCATGCATAGTTGTTATACCCACAAATGAAGCAGGCAGCTTCCCACGATTTAGAAATTGTAGTATACTGCAACGACAAACAGTACATACTTACTGCGGGCTGCATTGCTGCGAAGGCCAAGTTCAAAATAATGTCTCAATGAATTATTTTTATCTATACATTTATTTTCTGCAAAGTGAAAGACATGTAGAGCTTAACAAGTGCACTTAAAGAGTTTATTTTAGAATTCTAACCAGTTGTCATGTTTGGTTTCAGGTAGGTTGCTTTTAACAACTACTCCAATAAAGCACAATCTGATTGCACTTCCCATTGATAGCGACTGCGTAATCCGACGTTCCATTTAGAATACTGAGATCATCAAGCAGAAGAATGAAGAGATACATACAATATTATCTGTGTTGGAGAGTGATACAACATTGCATTTTTTTCATATTTTGAACTTTTTTTTTTTTTCAAAGGAATTTTGTGTTTTGTTGCAAAGTAGTTACTTAAGATAGCTCTTATGGAAGAACCATGGTTGGTTTTAAGAGTGCTTGTGAACATAATTGCTGTTCTATATTACTTTTTGACTAACAGAATGTCTATATTGGAGTGTGTGTATGTGTTGTGTGTGTATACAATATATACACAATATATGACTGTGTGTTTAGTTTCTTAACTAATTTGATCACATCATGCAAGTGTACACATTTCTCTCAATATTAAAGCTTTGAAAGCGTGTGGCTTCAAAAGGAATCACTTTCTGATAACATCATTTATATTTATAAGAACTACTTTATTTCTACATTGATACATGGTTAGTGACAACAGATTTATGTGGGGTGGGGAGCAAAATGGAACAATTACTTGCAACGTTGTGCTTTGTTTGTTTTGGATCAAAACGTTAAAGGATTACTCCAAGCATCCCTGAAGTGGTCATTGGGCTTGGAGTAGCCCTTTAACTTTATGACCTATTGTACAGTGCTCTTCTCTTGCCCCCTACCCACTCACACTGAGAAATCACCTCCCTCTTCCCAATCCCCTCCATTATATTTTTAAGATCATCGCCCTCCCTCTGCCTTCTTTCCTTTCCTCTGTTTCACTCCACCTCCTCTCGCCAGTTCAGAGCCTGCATGCACAAAAACGTCCAATCAAAGGCATCTCTATAGTCAATGTACATCTTATTTAATGAAATTTAATTTCTAAACATGTTGGCGTCTATAATTCTCATATATGCTTTTTATTCTTGTCCTGGATTCTAGATTAATGTAAAAAGTGCTGAATGACTGAACACATGCACTTGAAATGGCCTGTGTGTGCATAATTAATTGACAATAGTGCAACCTATAAGCTTATTCATCTTAATGAAGTGGTTGATGCTACATCATTCGATAATGTATCCATACACATGGTGGCAGCTGTAGACAGAGCACTTATAAACCACCACCACATGAAAGTGTGAAAAAGCCACGGAAGATAGCAGATCCAAATCTTGAGCATGGCTCATCACCCTAAGGTAACTTAACATAGATTTTGTAGAATTTTGCAGAACAAAAATTGTGCTTAGCTGTTATCTCTAAAACCAAAATAATGATTGATTATAGCGAAAGCATAAAAAAAAAAAAAACTTTTAAGACCGTTGTGGCAGTGTCTTGGTGCTGGAAATGGGGTAAGTAAAATATATTTATCTTTACTTTTTAAACATCAAAGGGGGTGGCGATAGGTCAAAGTAATCGAAGGGAACTTATAGTCCTGGAAAAAGAAAACTATTATTTTCAGGTTATAATTTCCCTTTTATATATGAGCTAATGTAGCTTACTGCAGTGTTTAAATACCTCCTATGATGCTTCAAGCAATTATCTATTTGCACTTTAACAATTGAATGCCTGAAAGGATTACCGCATTAACTCGGCCTTTACTGCTCTTTCTCTTCCTGTACATTTTACGGTTTCTAATTCATCTGCTAAAATGAATGGAGAGGAGGTAGTTTTCAAGCTGCGCTTATGCAATCTTCTATTGGAAAAAGAAATTAATTGTACAATGCATTTGTCCTTGTTCCGTGAATTTGCAGAAACATGAATCCCCTTATAAATTAAAATGGCACTAAGTCATCATAGAGGTGGACAGAAATATGCTATTGTTGAGCGCAACAGGAAAAAAATAATTTTACAAGGTGTATGTGAATGTGCGCAAGTCGTCCATTAATTTCTGACGTGTTTGAAACCTACATGCTCTTTTGTAAATTTCGGGAACACTGTGTAATCGTTAAGTCAAGATTATGTACTTTGTCAATATCACCAGCTAGGAGGCTGAGATATATGAAGTGCCGTAATGAAAAACTGTTCAGAATATTGTGCGTAGGTGTACAGACTTATTTGGGCAGTTCACATTTAGAAAAGCAGAACTTAGCTGTATACTTCCTTACAAACAATCTTCAATGTAAACTGACATTTGTTATTTATCGTGTTCAGCTTGTTTAGCCCCTTAGTAGCCTTTGAAGTACAGTGTACATTTTGATCATTTATGCTCCTTAATTAAAAAGTGATATATAGATGTAGGTAGATTACTGCCCCCTCTTTTTTATTATTGACTAAACTGCTATTTACCTTGCCTTTATTTCATCCCTGAAACAGACTCCTCAATGCACCCTCACGCCCTCCGGTAAACTGATTACTTTTGTCCAATTAGATGCATTGAGGATACAGCATCTTACATAACCATTCATTGTACGCTGACACCATACATCAAATACATTCAGTTATTGAATCTATTTCAATCTGTAGTCCCCAGTGGCTGTACGTATGACAGTCACTAGCAGACGTGAAAACCGTGCCCTTTCTGAGAAATGGTTTTGTTTTTTTTAGCACAGTTGAAGGGACATCATCTATTTATTTATTTATATACAAAATATTTTACCAGGCAGGATAGATTGAGATTTCTCTCATTTTCAAGTATGTCCTGGGTATATTGTTTATGTCAGCAGTATGAGTATGATGGAACAGAAAAAAGGTTATATCCACAGCAGATCGAATGATCCCTGGGGAAAAAACACTTCTATTAGTACTTTGCGTGCTGTTTAGATTCAATCATAAAAAGCATGATGGATAATTATTTAGCAAAGCATGCTTGAAAATGTTCCACGACTAACTAGTGAAATACCAGTAGAAGTCTAACGTGGCAAATTGAATAGACTTGAGTTAATTATTTTTCTGTGTGTGTGTATGTGTATATATATATATATATATATATATATATATATATATATATATATATATATAATATATATATATATATATATATATATATATATATATATATATATATTGGTTTACTGGACTAACACGGCTAATCAAATCTACACTACTACATATATATATATATATATATAATTTCACAGTCACCTGCACACTCCAAGGTGGTAGAATATCCTATGCCTGGTGCTGCTCTGCAAATGAATATAGTATAGTTCCTATTCTCTGTATAACATATTTGGTGGCTAGGTGCTTCCTCTGCTCAGTTGGAGATCTTTTGTTCCAGATTCTGTGTTAAACAGGTTGTGAGTAGATAATGTGAGAGACACAGTACATGAATGACAGCTGTGAATGCAACATAATTATTTTGAGTACGCTAGTAACTTCTTTCTTGCTTGTAAACACCAGAATACACAGCATGCAGAAATATGGATATGTTTCCATTTAATGTGTACCTCTAATGCAATTTTTTTCATTCCTCTAGTTGGGGTCGAGTGTGCTTTTTTTATGGTTATTCACTAAACTAGTGTTAGGAATTCAAAGTGATTTTTAAATTAAAGGCTAAAGCACCCAACCTGGTAGGAATGCTTCCAGTTTGCATGTGTTGGATTTAAAGTTGAAATTCTACTATGAATTCCCAACAATTCACACTTTAGTGATGTCCTTATTTGTGTTTAAACAAGTCAGCTGTGTTAACGTAGTGGTTTTACTTCATAGACGCTGCACTGTTTATATAAAACAGTGTCCTTCTTAAGAAATTGAAATTGTGGGAGAAGACAACAGGAAAGTTGCCATGCAGATATCAGGACCTGATGTTACTGTTTGCATGACACTCGTATGTCTTGTTTTGAACAGTGTGTCTTACACTGTATCAACCACAGGGTATGGCGAGGGTACATGTGTTTTTCCCATGACTAAAGGTGGAAATTCTTCTGGGTTTCTAGAGTCATGGATGTTTTTCAGGCTGGCCTTGATAAGGACTTATCTGTCAGTATTTTAACGGATCAGATCTTTGCAATTTAAATCCTTTTTCAGAGACTCTGGGGCCATCACATGTGCCTTTGTACAGGCTCTAGCCCATATTCTTCTGATATTTTGTCCTTCTACGGTACCATGGAGTCTGAATCTTGTTTTGTAGATGCTTCGACATTTGCACGTTGAACCCATGCACAAACTACAAGAAGTTCTCTGCTGTGCCCTTGTTTCCACTTTCCTGATTTTCCATCAGGATACTTTGCTAATTGGTTAACTGTTGATATACAATGGAAGGAGCAGAAAGGGGGAGATGTCTCAAGACTCTATATGATTGGTACTAACTCTCCAGTTCAGTGGAGGAATATGCCACAAGTAATACATTGTTTTGGACTATGGTAACACAGATGACAATAGATATACCAGTAAGCATTCAGTTTAGTTTTAACTAGGACTCAGGAGCTATGTCTGGTGTAACTGAATACTCGAAGCATCATAACTGTTATTTTTATATTTATATTATATTTTTCCAACAAATACAGTTTTTTATATTTTTATTGATTGTCACAAGGGAAATTACTAAACTGGAAAGTGTCACACAATGCCTGAATATTTGCAATGAACAAATACTAGCTGTCAGTCCCATTTATTTATTTATTGTTTACTTTTTCTAAAAATTAAATTGGGAGATGTGAATAGGTACATTTTATCTTTGCATACAATTGTGTCAAAGGAAATATTTATTTTGGTATTGAAAAATGTAAGGCAATCAGACATACACAGTCTGCTGAAGCCAAAGAGTGGGTTAAACGGTAGTCTAAACCAGGGTAACCTTAATAAGATGGTTTTAAACAGATGAGAGGAGAACCCTAAAAGGGATCAAGTCTAGATTTTACAAAGTTTCTAAGTGACAATACGTTTCAGATTAGGTGCACTATGTTAGAAAATTAGTGATACTTCTAAGTCATTCATACTACATAAGGTTTAAATGGGGGTATAGGTTACACATATTATATGTCTTTAGGATCGGTTGAATACATTAGGTTTGATACAGGGCACAGCGTTTGTTTTTGTGTTTTGTCTTATTGTGTTACTTTTGTTTTAATCTAATAAATAAAATTAGTTTTTACCTCAAAGAAGTGCTTCACATATATGGTAATCTAATAAGACTTGATCCCCTTTAGGGTTCTCTCATTTATCTTGAAATGATATTGTTGTTAAACATTGCCAAATGCATTGCATGTGTTGTAAAACCTTTTAATAATACACTAAATAATTGATACAATTTTAACATCAGGGCTTCAAATCTTAAAGGGATAAACAACATCTCTAAATATTGGCAGAGTAGTTACACTATAAATCACTGACGATTTCAATTGTAATTTTATTCAGCTTGTTTATTATGTAGAGGGCCTACAAAAGATAAAACAGTTTAGTATTAAAAAAATAAAAAAAACTTTTGCAAAACTTAGTTTTTGCTGGTAGCGATGCTCATTTTGTTGCTCCTGAAGGGGCTTGGCTTATGGCCGTTGCTATAACAACCATTTGCTACATCATCTCAGCATCAATATATTGCCCTTTTAAGAAGCTCCGTACTCCCCTCCTTGCCTGTTTTCCTCTTGTGTGCATTGCTGAAGGAAGCTGCTTCATTCAGTACAGACGGTCACCAAGCAGTATTGTGAAGGTTAGAATGGATCAATTCCTTTGTAAGAATACAGGCAAATATCCGTGTACTGAGAGACTTAGCATGGACCATATCATCGGACACTAACAAAATCAGACGCTAAAGGGAATTACGTGACGAGGTGTGCTGTGATGCAGAGAAGCCCAAAACAGCAACGCTGACACGCTGTGACATTGTATACTTAAGAATCCAGCAATGCCCTAAAAAGAATCAGAAACAGGATTAAATAGATCGTCACCTTTCCTAGTCCGCTGCAGCTGAGATATTCTGCGACAGCGAATTCAAGACCGACGGCACAGTGGAGCACAGAGGTAAAAACAGAGGCGTTATGAAGGACAAAGATTTTGTTGCCAATGTAGAGAGGGGAAAGCCTGCTACATACACTGGGGACAAGAAAGCAAAAATGGCAGCCAAAACCAATAAAAAATGGGTGAGACTAGCAACGGTATTTGCCTATGTACTATCTGTGTCTCTGGCTGCTATAATTTTAGCTATTTATTACAGTTTGATATGGAAGCCTGTAAGGACCAGTGGTGACCAGACTAGTGGCAGCCACAACGTTGAGGTCTCGACTTTTTTAAGCAATGGCACAATACATGTGTCTAATGAGACACCTATTAGCAGCAATTCGAGTGTGAGTGTACGGGCCAATTTAGAGTCAGTGAAAGCATCACCTCTTTTTCAGGACACACTTATAACAAGCCCTGCAACTCCTTCAGCAAACCCAATGGCCAATCACACTGGTACTCAAACACCAGCGTCCGAAAGAGCAACAAGAAACAGTGTGTTTGCAAAAACTGTAATCACGCTACTTGTTACAAAGGACCACGCCACTGAGGAAAGTCCATCAACCTTTCCAAGTTACAGTTCTCCATCAGGGATAGAGGCCTTAAATCCAGATTCAAACGATCCTGCAACCAGCAGCACTTTGCCTGCACATATCCTACAAACAGGTTTCGCCACTCCACTTATGGACACGTTGGAATCCCTTGAAGATCCACCAGTCTGGACAACCAAAGATGTTAAAGAGACCTCTGAAGATTTTCAAGGGTTTACATCTGCTCAAGACATGACAGATGTAACGGATCACTCATTTACTCCTAATTTAAACGAAGAATCGCTCGTAAAGGATAGTACAACATCATTAAAAAATCAAGCTGAAATAAGCCATGAGCCCCAGGACTCTACAGCTAGTACGATGACATATTCAGGACACACATCAGTTGCAGGAAGTCTATAGCAGCCTCTGATAATTACTCCTCAGGGGGCATACAAGCCTTTCTTATTTATTGGACATCGCATACTTAATGTTATTTCAACTCATTCACCTTAACCACTTCCTCTATTTGTGACTTAACAGCCTCCTTCCATGGTTGATTGTTCAAGACTAGTGGTAGACGAAGAATATTTTTGTTAGATTTACATGTCTTTTTAGATGATATAATACGGGAGTTTAGGCTCATAGACCGGAAATTTGGAAAACGAAACTTTTTAAACATTGGGGAAGGAGGGGAATATTTTTATTTAAAATAAACTGTCTTGTTATGTCCGTCCAGTAGGGATACTTGTTATAGTTGTGGAATTAAACTGTTTAATTGGAACTAAACCTCTCAAGGAGTGAAGCTCAGGTATGAAGTAACAAGAATGCATATCGAAACTTGTATATACTTATAGTCTCGTCATAGGGCTTATTTACTAAACAGTGAATTGAGGTGACTTGACACCCGAGAAGCAAAATGTTGGCTAAAAGAAAAATATAGGGGGTGGGGGGGAGGGAGGGAATATCCAGCTTAGTCTAGTGATTTTTTTCCATATCTTTGTTATTTTGATATTTAAATGTCATCAACTAACTGTTTAGTAAATAAACCCCAGCACATTATCAGGGTTTTCAAAAAAAAATAAAAAATTTAAAAAAATAAATAAATAGAGCAAAACACAATTTTACAGATTTCAAAGGGCTATTGCTATGAATGACACACTTAAGATTGGCAATTAAAGTATTTTGTGTCAACTATTTTTGTTTCCATCGTCTGTTTCATAAGCGAAAATGAAAGGCAGTCTGTTTTATTTTCGTTTTTTAATTCTGATATTTTCATTTATATTTGAAAATGAGTCTATTACTGACACCTGCAATATAATGACATGGCTTTATTTCTTATAACCACGTATTTATTTAAATTGTAGTGGATGCATGTAACAATTACCAGGAAAGGATGGGCAGCAGACATGGCCAGAATATAGACCTCCCAGCTGTTGTGAACTATGACTTCTATAAAGGTTTGAGAGCCATAAGGCTGGCAAAGCATCATGGGATCTATGGGTTTACAGCTATGAGAGGGCAGCCTTTTGGCTTTCCCTATGGTAGAGTGTTTATTTTATTTACAATTTCTAGTTAAAGGAAATAAAAGGGATGTCTGCAGTGTAAACTTGAATGTTTCAGAACTTAATTTTTCTTTTCCTTATGGCATGACATACATTCAATTCAATTAACCCCTGCATAGGGATCGACCGATAATGATTTTTTTAGAGCTGATGCCGATAATCTGTGAACTTTCAGGCCAGAAGCCGATAACTTGCCGATATTCTGTACATTTACCATTTTGAAAAAATAAACAATTTCTTAAGGTAAATGCACAAAATATACATGCCACATGTAATGGATGCAGTGTGTTTAGACAGGGGAGCTGTGTGTGTTTGTCTGGTGGATGCAGTGTGTATTTGTGTAGTGTGTATATAATGAATACAGGGTGTGTTTGTGTAGTGTGTGTATATATATATATATATATATATATATATATATATATATATATATAGTGAATGCAGAGTGTGTGTGTTTGTGTAGTGTGTGTATAATGCAGAGTGTGTGTGAGTTTGTGTAGTCTGTGTATATAATGCAGTGTGTGTGTGTGTATAATGCAGAGTGTGTGTGTGTTTCTGAAGGCATGTAATTTGTGTAAAATTTTAATATTTATGTTTTATAAAAAAATTTTTGTCCCCCCTCCCTGCTTGTTACTTGGCCAGGGACAGGGGATAGTCCCTGGTGGTCTAGTGGCATGTTGTGAGCAGTTGGGGGGCCCGCAGGAAGCTGTTACTTACCTTTCCAGCAGCTCCCTGTGTAAATCTCGAGGTCTGTGTGCGGCACGGAGCGTTGCCATGGTAACCCGTGGCAACACTCTGACGGCCGCGAGATTTAGACAGGGGAGCTGCTGGAAAGGTAAGTAAGAGCTTTTGCGGGGCCCTCCAGGACCGCCGGGCTTGTAATGAGCCCGGCGGTCCTGGAATGTATTATCGGCAATATCGGTGTCTATATTGGCCGATACCGATATTGCTGAAAATACCGAATATCACCTGATAATATTGGTAAAACCGATAATCGGTCGATCCCTACCCCTGCAGTGCTTTACCCTCAGGCGGCAGGATTAGAAGAGTGTCCAAGCATGCATATGTTTGGCATTTCTGAGCATAGGACTGAATATGCACTGGAGCTCAAGTTATCATGAAATGGAGAATCATCCCGAACACAGAGGTGCCATGGAGGTAATTCTGTTTTATACTTTCCTTTCTGCATTATTGAGTTAAGTAAATGCTTTAATAGGGTTTACTGCCATATGGATGCAAGGAACCGCCACTTCCAGAAAAGTGACTGTTTATCACCAAACATATGGTGCTTCTCGCTTAAGCCCCCATTTAGTGGGTTTCTATTTGTTTGTTTGTTTATTTATTACGGGCATTTATAAAACACCAACATACTCTGCAGAGCTGTTCAATTAGGGGAGAATGTACAATATACAAATTTTAAAGGTAAAGAGGGCCCTGCCTGTAAGCTGAGATCTAGCCATTTCTATGAAATGTATAACCCATTGCTTGAATTTGTTACGAGTGTTGTAATCTCTATAAGCTCAAAGGCCCCTAATGCAATTGGTTCATGGCAACGTACTGATATCTCCAGCACACCATGCTAGTGGTATCTTAATTACAGCAGTGGCAATATTTTAATCGATAACACTATTGTTAAGGTAAATCTCACATTTTGCTTACACGTGTAATGAAGTTAACACTTGCAGGGATTCTGTCTGCTGGTACCAAAAATAGAAGTAGCCTCGAAAGACTCGTACATTTTCCAAGCCAGTTTTAGGAATGGGGAGTCACTGATTGGCTGAGAGCGTCGGCTGACTGCTCTCAACCAATTTGCGACACTCCTGTCCTGTGGCATTTCAGAAGCCGGATGCCTCCCAGGGGAAAGCTGATATCGGCGCTGGAGGCTACTTTGGGGTTAAACTGTTTGAGAATGGTATAACCCCTGGAGGTAAAAGTGCGCCCAGTGGCCTTCTGGCACATAACAACTTCATTTTTTATCTACTTTTTGGCTACTCACAAGAGGTCAAAAAGTAGATCCGAGCCATTGTAGACATTTAGAATTTTATCAGCCGTGATCATTTGGCTATTTTCTTTTATTTAAATAAATTTTTCTGACCTTTCCTCATTTTTCAGATACTTTCTTTAAATAAGTGTCCATTTGTTGACTTGTTTTAGAGGAAGGAATGTAGACGAGTGCAGTGTAGAATGGCCAGGCCAGAGAACTGTCGCTAATTTGTAGATTTGTGGCGCTTATGGTTACATGTATTTTTATGTTGCTAGTTAGGGATTAGTATTGTGTTTTAAAGTGGTTATGAGTAGAAAATGTTATCTGGCTAGGCTACTTTTATCACTTACTGACTTTAACATGAAAGTGATATTTACTTACATGTACTCCATCGCCACAGCTAGCCCTCATTCCTTGGCTGAGATAAGCATTCTTGATTATCTCAGCCAATCCAATCCTTTCGGGAGGCCAGTGCACATGCTCGGCAAAATGCTGCCTTGCACCAGTCAGCATCTCATCATAGAAACTCATTGAGTTAATGCATCTCTATGAAGAGTATACAAAAGGAAAAAAGCATCTACAGGTGGTGGCTGTCAAAAACCAGACTAATCCACTACAGCCTGTAGAAAATCACACCTTATAAGACACTCCAGAAGTGTCTTGGGGCTTGACCCCTAATAAAAAGAACTATAAGACACTCAAATGATGAGTATCCTCTGGAAAACTAATGACCAAACAATAATGAATGTAAATAAATGCTATACAAAATAATAATAGATGGAAATAGACACCACAGAAATACTATAGAGCGATCAAATGGAAGAATAGGTGCCAAGTGGCTTGCCTCCTATCCTAGAGTCTCTAAAATAGTCGCTGAAATTCGCAGACTTAGACTTTAATATAATCCATAGTGTTCAATGTCTGCAATTAATATCAGCTACACTTGAAAATACAAGGACACTATAGGAATATACTTATACCCGGTGGGGTTCAAAAAATGCTCAAAGTAATGTAAAATTTATAATAACGTGCATCACTTGATAGTGAGGTAGAAAGTATATAAATTACTTAGAAAAAAGTAAATTAATTTCGAGCAAAATGTCAGGCTGTATCAGAGTACTAATACTTCCCTATTACAAGGATGGCTATTAGAGATAAATAATGATCAGTGCTGTAAAGCATAATAAAAAAAAAAAAAAACAACACCATCCCTGTATAGCTAAACTCTGAATATTTAATTGATACATTTAAACAGTAAAGATATAAGTGTGACTAAACGCTTATATATTAATTAACCACATAGATAAATTGTATCCAAATCAGCCTTTAGTATATGAACTCCACTAATTGCAGACATTGACCACTATGGATTATATTAAAGTCTAAGTCTGCGAATTTCAGCGACTATTTTAGAGACTCTAGGATAGGAGGCAGGCCACTTGGCACCTATTCTTCCATTTGATCGCTCTATAGTATTCCTATGGTGTCTATTTCCACCCATTGTACAGCGCTACAGAATTTGTTGGCGCTATATAAATAATAAAATAATAATAATTATTATTATTTTGTATAGCATTTATTTACATTCATTATTGTTTGGTCATTAGTTTTCCAGAGGATACTCATAATTTGAGTGTCTTATAGTTCTTATATCTCTATGAAGAGATTTTATTTTCTTCTTGCAGAGCATGGAGACGCTAAATATCAGTCCTGCAATGATTGCAGGACCAAACCCATGAAGTTCTGTCTCTCCGAGTAATAGCCATTAAAGGTGTTATATAGGCAGAAAAGTAAGCACTGCCTTTTCTCCGAAAATGTCTGTACAATAGTAAGCCTGCAGGGAAGGCTGTAGACATCAGAATTAAGCAATAATGGTCCTGGTGACTATAGTGTCCCTTTAATCTTGAATATCCTAATTACTGATATTGTAGGTCACTGTTTATTGGAGTAACCCTAACGTTACTTGCCTTGGTATTCTTCACCAAGCAGCCTTCTTTACCCACTAAATGTGCAGAGAGATCAGGTAACCCATCTTTAAGTGGAACATGCTTGAGCATGACATAGGAAAGACGTCAGTACATACAGATAAAAGTCTGAGTGAAATGTACCTGTGGACAAGTTTGTCTAGGACGACTTGTGTCATTTTCTGCTTATTGTACATTAATTCCTGGTGAGAGGGCTGCTGCTTTTGAAGCAGAGAGATGTTCGCGTGTGCTCATAGAACATGGACTTCAGCGAGGCACAGCAAGAACATAAGGGGTTTGCACAATACTTCGTAGATACATCTTGTGTTTTTGTCATATTGTTGTATTTTTTTGAGGTGATGTAGTTCTCTATATGCAAATAACACTTTTGTGGCAATTATGATTCCCACAGACACAGTTTCTTACATGCCAGGATTGGTTTCTCTGTGCATTTTAGACTCTTTTGTCAATGTTTTTCTCTGTGCTTTGGAGACCCCTTTGTCATTGTTGTTGCTAAAAATAATGGGTTCCTAAGCCAAAGCTATTTGCATATAATTTTGGTTTATTTGGGACGTATATCATCAAGTCATGTAGTTTACCTGTACGGCTTTGTGAAGGCTTTTATGTGTAGCTGGAGAAAGCAGTCTGTCCTTTGGTTACACTTAAAGGGACACTATAGTTACCAAAACAACTTTAACTTAATAAAACAGTTTTGGTGTATAGATCATGCCTCAGAAGTTTCACTGACCATTTAGGTCAATTTCTACTCACTTAAAATTATTCACTTTTTAAACTGTACTTCATCAGCTGCTTTTGTTATTTGTTCTATATCTCCCATTGAGCCACTACAGACAAAGAATGAAGAGGGCCTGTGTCCCCTTAGAACACATCTGCTCGTGAGATCTGAGCCTGTCCTTATCTGGCTCTAACCCATTGAGTGCATATCGAGTATCTATATAATGTATTTTCTTATTTATCTAGCAAACTGCTGTATATTCATTCCAAGATTGCTGTATGTTAATTACGTAAGTGACGTTTCTTAGCGCTCCACTACTATCACTGGTTGTAACTGGTTTCCACTCAGTTTTTCTACATCCACTTACTCTACAGCATGTGTTGTGAAGGAGATACTCTCACTTTGTGGTAGCTGCTAATCTTTAATATTTAAGTATATAAGCGCCTTTACACTTTGTATTTTTTAATAAATCACTTTTGTTTCTGTTTATGCAGCCCTAGCCACACCTCCCCTGGCTGTGACTGACACAGCCTACATGAAAACAAAAATGTTAGATTTTCAATCAGATGTAACTAACCTTAAAAGTTTCCATCTCTGCTCTGTAATTTGAACTTTAATTTCATACAGGAGCAGGAGATGGGGAATTCTAAATTAAACAGAATTTGCAATGAAGGGAGTATAAACATTAGATGACTTCACAGGAAGTGTTTAGAAAGGCTGTGCAAGTCCAATGTAGGGAGGTGTGTCTTGGGCTCTATAAACAAGGTGATTTAACTCCTAAACGGCAGAGAATTGAGCAGTGAGACTACAGAGGCATCATCTACTTACAAACACTGCTTCATTAACCTAAAGTTGTTTTGGTGACTATAGTTTACCTATATTCACGCTCTCAACCAATTTTATTCACGAATGAACAGCACAGATAATTCATAGCCCAAACAAAAATAAGATTGCCTAGCCTGCAGTAATGTTGAAAACATACATCTATACACCATGAAGAAAATGATTAATCCACTGTAGTCCATTTCAACATATAGCTTAAACACACAGCCTTCAGTTCCAAAAATAATGTGTTTTTTTTTTTAGGCCTTTAAGTTTCCTTCTAATGTTGTGACCTCTGTCCAAGCCCTTTGATTTAAAAAAAAAAAAAAAAGTTCTATTACATTTCTTTCATTTGCCTTGTCCACTGCAACCTCCTGCTCCACCTCCATCTTTCTAGTAAAAATTGTCTGAGCACAAGTAGACCAAATTGCAGACTTTAATGGAATTGAACAGGCAATGTTTCAACTCAAACAGGAGCTTTTTTCAAGCCACCTTCATCTATGTGTCAGCCAAGCATGCCTACATCATCCACATTCTTATGAGAAAAAAAGGGGTTGGCTGCACTCACCTGAACATGCTTAAATGGGGTGCTGCTGGGGGCCAATAAGTACAGTAAAAACGAGAATCCAGCGCATTCCACATTTTTGTCCAATCCAATGCTTCTCATAGTGAAGCACTCGAGTTGAGATACACATGCACCACAGAATGCTGGCGTCATCCAATCAAATGCTGTCCATAAGCAGCACTTACTTGAAGAACAGAGTCTGACTTGGTTATTTCAGTGCAAGTGCATCTAGTGGCTGTCTGGAAGACTGCACTAGAGGTGTGTTTAACCAAGCAATGAAAACATTGCCATTTCTTCATAAGGCAATGTTTTAGATTGCAGGGTTATGTCATCAGATCACACAGACCACTTTATTGAGATGAAGTGGTCCTAGTTGCCT